GAATATTATATAGAAACCAAGTGAACAATTATGCAAAGCACATTTTATCCATTGCCTCATCACGTCGACAGTACACAATCCAATGTCCCTCTCTTTGGAGATTGTGGACCTTACGCGTTCTATTAGGGTTAGAACATTTCCTTCGTAATTCTTTTTATTTCAGATTTCGTTTTTGATTTTTTGTATAATGAACATGGCAAAGAATACTTCAACCATTACAATTCGTCGTAGGCAGTACACCAATTCAAACTAACAACACAATAGAGAGATTACTCCAATTGTGTGATCTTGGAGCGTATTCGCTGAAAAGCCGCACACATTATTCCCCGGCCGAATCTTTCCAACAAATACATTACGGGACAATAGAGCTGGAAATCCCGGAGAGTTGCCCGCAGTCTGGGATGCGCGCAGCAGTCGCGGAGACACTGGGAGGGCGGCGTGGGGCGGCGTGGGACCCACGGGAAGGCGAGCGCGGAGACAGAGAGAGTGCGGCAGGGATCCGCGGAAGGTGGGAAGTTAGGAAGGTGAAGGGCTGGAGCGGGCCAAAAGGCGGGCGTCGACAAGGGCTCGGGGCGGATGGGCGACGCCAGGTGAGAGTTGGTGGCAGAGGCCGCGACCACCTGCGCGGCGGGGCGCTAGGGTGCAGCAGCTGCCGGGGTCGGAGCGGGTCGGCCCTTCCCGTCCAGCGCGCCCTCGGCCCGGGCGGGCAGGAGGGCTCCCTCGCAGCCAAGTCACGTCCACGTCTCCACTGGGTCAGGCGGGCGGGGGGAGAGCTCCCGGGAATAAACACAGGAGGACGAGGGGGGTCGCCACGGAGGGGGACAAGCAAACTGACGAGCAACGAAGGTAAGGGAAGGGGAAACACGAAAATAGCGGGAAGAAAATGACTGAACACGCCAAATGTTAACAATAAAATGTACTTCGAGAGGGAAATTATTGTTTGCAAGAGATTAAAAAAATTATGAAATATCAAAAATAAGTCAAAATAATGACAGTCTTAGAAAATACTGGTACATAAATGTTCTTTTTTTCATTTCTTTACCGATAGTGAAATAGATTCCACGACCAAAACCGGTTCCCGGCATATAATGAATATTATTTACGAGAAAAATTTCGTTAGATCAGTTTTTCAGAGAGAATGCCTTTCGAGATTAAAATAAAACGAGGAAAAAGTAATTGAGCGTTGAAATGTGTTCACATTTTAACATGTATAACTTGGCCAGAATAGGTCAAGTTTTCCCGGATCCGTTTTCTGTCATGAGAGAGATAACGGAGTTTCCGAGATTCTTTTAAACCGTAAATATGTTTGAGCTGAAAAATGATTATTCCAAGTATTGTAATAACGTACAAAAATTAGTTTGAAACATTAAAGCATCATTAATCATCAAGCATTAATATAACACATTTCTTAGTATTATTAAATAGCCTATAGAACGTACGACCACCCAAGATGAAGCTCCCGAATTTGAAACCGGTAGTTGTAAAACGGTTACCGTACAGCTCTTCCCCAAAATGGCTAAAATCATGACGTAACGAGGTTTACACCGGGTGAGTCGTCAGACCAGATACACATATTCATGACTTCTCTCATATTTGAAATTTGGGAGCGAGTGAATTTCATTACATACCGAAGTTACATTATACGACAAACCGGTAATATTTTAGATACACTGTAATACATAAGGATATGTTTAGGACCGATACACTGAAAAAATAGGCATAAAAACCTGATGTTACCACATCGTGTGGTCAACGGAAACGAAATGTGGCGTAATGGAGCAGAAGCTACTTGCAGTGGGAAACTAAAAATTTCAGTCGCAAAGAGAAGAAAAAAAATCGGACAATATTTAGCACACAAAAAGGTGGGGAGGATACTTCGGACAGTATAGGATACAAGTACGGAAGAAAAAGCAGAGGTAAAAAAACGGCGGCAGGAGGAACCCCAGCCGAGACCCCGCACGCGGGCGCCGCAGACTAAGCGCGTCCTTCCGAGAAGCGGGGCCGCCGCCACCTGCCGCAGCACCCCCTCCCCTCCCCTCTCCTCTCCACCCCATCCCTCCCTCCCTCCTTCCTTCCTTCCTTCCTTCCTGCGCCCTCCCTTTCCGCCGCGGGCCCACCGTGGGGGCCCTTTCCCCTGCAACGACGCAACGCGACGGTGGTGGTGCCGCCGCCGCTGCCGCCCTCGCATACAACCTCTCCACGATTCCCGTTTCACTCCGCGCTCGTAAAAGAGCTCTGCTTCCCCGCCCTGACAGACGAGTGTCGGTTTCCTCAAGACGTTCCTCTCGCGGCGTCTCATCTGCGCGGGCCAGAAACATCGCGTCGCCGACGTGACAGGTCGTCCCTGCACCAGACCCTCTCATGCAGGGCACCGTTTCTAGATTGCGCGAGTTAATCAACTGAGGAAACTGTGGGGATTGGTCCAGTGTAGTTGCAGCTGCCGAATAAGGATTTATTTCGCATCGCGCGTTCTGCATGTCACGAACTTTGTTACAAAAACCCAAACATTCGAGAGCAACAGAAAACGCTTATCCCAAGAAATAACGATTGGGAGGAACAGTGACCACGTCACATTATAAGTAACACACTATTTCTACCTTCCCATGCTCCCGTTTCGATCTTCTCAATATTTTCTCACGAAATGTACCGTATTTACGCGAATCTAATGCACACCTTTTTTGACCAAATGTAATACTCAAAATGCCAGTGCGCATTAGATTTCCTGGCACAATAGATTCTAGTGCAAATCCGTTTGGTGGAACGCCAGTAACTTCGTTCATTTTTTTCGTTCATTTCATCATAATGGATTGCTAGAGTTTTGAAATTCAACTTCATTTAATTTATCATTGGCCTATTATTGAGGGTATTTAGTTACGACATGGAGGGCAAACAGAGCAGAGCATCTTACGATTCAAAGTTGTATTACATATATTTAAATAAAATACCGTACCTATTATTGTCATTGACATGCATTACATTCAAAACAAACACTTTTTTCAAAATTTTAACTTACAAATATGGGGTGCGCATTAGATTCCCGTGAATACGATACTTCTTACGCAGGTGTCTCGTAACCATCGTAAACAGCGCTAAGCAGACAGGCAAATACAACGAACAACTTCGCGACGCGAGCGACGCGTCATGGAAACCACAGCCGCGCACCGCGTGCACTGCAGCGCGAGACGCGCGTGCGCCGACGCTCGCACGCCGCGCCGCGCCGGCGGAACACGCAGAATTCGCTCTCGCTCGCCGCCCGCATGAATCATTCGCAGCCCCACTCTCACCCTTTCCCCGCTCCCCTCCCCTCCCCTCTCTCCCTCGTCTTCCCTCCGCCTCGAGCCGTCTGGCGCAGAGCTTTCCGCGCGCGCCGCCTGCCCGCCCGCGCGCGCGCATGCGCCCGCGCCCCCACGCAAGCGCAATCGCGCTCCTCCCCCG